CAACACGGTGACAGATCTTCTTTTCTAGCTTTCGGCTGAATCGCACTTTTGCTCGAAGGGGCCGGTGATCTGGGCCACTACTAAAGGATGGTGATGCTGAGATGTCCAGTAAGCACCACCTTCATTTGGTAAGAATGTAGTCGATCTCCGCATGAGTCGTACCGTTGGGTGATTCCCATGTCCACCGCCGGTTTCTTTCTTCATAAAAATGGAGTTGCCATGAAAAAGTTGTGCGGCAGCTAAGAGCTCAACAAGACGTTACCTTTCTCATTCCAGAGTCCTGATCCAAATCTCCCCTTCTTGTGCTCCCCTTCTTCTGACATCTCATTTTCGCATTGAAGTCACCCACGACAAACTTATAGAAGAAGTTTTCTTTGCGGATGACTTCCTCCAAATCCTCTAAAAAGCATGAAGCTCCGAATCATCAGCTGCTGTCGGAGATTAGCAGTTGATGATAGTGATGGCTTTCTGATGCAGAGAACGGAGAAGGATAGCGAGGTGACAGGATCTCATGCGAATCGACAAGATGGACAATAGAGGGCGTACGACAAATCCAACGCCTCCAACGTTCTATGATGGAACCTTTTCACCACGAGTAATGAGTGTGCCATCACTCAGCTGCCTCACGTCCGTCTCCCTGGACTTTGCTTCCTGCAAGGCAATTACGTGGAAGTAGATGCACCCTGCAGCTTTGAGAAGGGCGTGAAAATCGGCGTTGGTAGAGACTTTCCTGGCGTTGTGGGTGCAGAGCATGAGACAATCCATGGCGAGTCGTTGAAGTGTCCTATTGGGCCGAAATCCATGGCGTCATGTGTAACCTGACACTGGTTTTATGACTTCCGACGCCGTAGATGTAATCCAGTGTGCAGGGCTTCTTTTCGTCTTACATGCTGTACAGGCAGTAAAGGACTTCTCCCTAAACACTAACAGTGCCTTGCCAAGGTCATGCCAAGCTATTTTTGCAGATATGTTGTATAAATTGCTTGTAGCACTTAAAGTGAGCTTTAAGAAACATAGGAATGGAGCAACATTCGCTGTTCACGTGTGTGTTTATTAACATGTATGATAAACCGCCCAGTGATTAAATAGTTATACTAAAGTTATATACATCGAGAATATGTTGGTATCAAGAA